AAATTTTGACTTGGTCTTGTATTTTACTTTATCTGGTAAATAAAAATTATATTTTTTATTTCTTGAAAAAAATTTCAAGGCCATTTATAATCATTTATGACTCTAATAATAACTTCGGATTATAAAAAAACCCCCGTTAATCCGAAGAAAAGTCCCTGCACAATTGCCTTCGGTTTAACGGGGTTGCCTATGTATTTTTAATAAAATAATGTTACTGAAATTAAAATTTAATGCTAATTTTTTATTTTTTATCATTTATGAACAATTAAATATCCATGCAATTTTCAAATATCATCTCAATTTTGAGATATTATTGCAATATTGAAATAACTTTTCAGATATTTTAATTGAGATATTAGAATTTCTATGTATATAAAAAACTCAATTTCAACCTAATGTAAAAATAATTTTGTAACATGTTAATTAGTTTCAACTAAGAAAAACTAAATAAACTAACAAATAAAATAGTAAATATTTTATTTAACACTTTTGTCTTCTTTAAACAAAATTATTTGCTAATCCAAAAATCAATTTGTTGATAACCTATTCATTCTGATCCATACAAAAACAAAAACAATGGTTATCACCCATTAAAACACACTCCCCCAAATTTAATTGGACAATAGCAATATGGAAGTATGTTGATAAATTTTTGTTGCTATTGTTACCAGGATTAGGATTTAACACTAATTTGTTAGTCGAAATACTCTAATTCCGAACCAAATCTTTTATTTCTATTTTTATTTATTTACTTTATTTTTATATCTACATTTATTTATTCCTTATATTTTATTTCTTATTTTATTTTTATTCATATTTATTTACATTTTTATTATTTTATTTGTATTTTTATTCGTATAACGTCGAAATTAATTGACTTTATTTAGAAATTATCGTCGCGGTTAGAATGTTACGTCGCGATATCGCGGTTAGAATGCTAGATTGCAATGAAGTTGTTACTAATTAATTTAATTGTATAAAAGACACTCAAATTCGACTTGCTTCTAAAATAACATTGTCTTAAAGTTTCATAATAAAAATTAACTTGGTAATAAGTTAATAAATTAGTTTCGACTAAATAAAACTAAATAAATAAAATATTTCTATTTTATTTAAAACTTTTATCTTCTTTAACCAAAATTATTCGCTAATAAAAAAATCAATTCGTTGATCCCTATTCATTCTGATCCATGCAAAAACAAAAATAATTGTTATCACCAATTAAAATACGCTTTCCCAAATTTAATCGGTGATACTATTGTTAAAAAATTTTCTTTTATTGTCAGTCATTATATTAAAATTAATTTTTGAATGCTATTTTTAGAATATCAATCATTACAATATTTAGAAATCTCATTGTTACTATACCCACCATAAACAAATGGCTATAAATGACCAAAGTGGCTTTAGTGGCAAAAGAAAAGTACTAATACTAAACAAGTCACGATTTTCTTGATTAAAAAACTTATAAATACAATGTTCAATAATTCAATTATTAAATCATATTCTAATCAAGGAATTAAAAAGGGTATCGGCTGAAAGTTCATCTTTTACTGAGGCAAACAAAAGAAAAGCAAAAAAAATTCGAAGGAATTAAATTTGAAATATCAAGAAACGATGACGATATAGCAGTATAATAAATGATACAAAAACTTTGCAAATTTCCAAAAAGGAATGCTCACCAATTGAAAATTTTACTATGAACCGAAAGAAACTTAGCAAAAGAAGTTTTCAACAAATCATACTATTTTGACTTTAGACAACCCCAAAAACAATTCAGACACCCATATATAGTCGCGTTATAAGGATTTTACTATTATTTAAGTTACGCTTCATTATAACGAGTTCGGCTGTAATTTGTTTTTGTCTTTTTGGTCTGATTGCGGAAATTTTTTTCGGTTGAAATCATATTAAACATAGATACTTGTAATAACAGCATCCAGCAAGTTCCCTTGATAAAAACATTATGATTAGGATCCTAAATTCATAAAGGATGTTTCATTACTTCTTGTTATTGTTGATATTTTTTCTTCATCAGGCTGTTGTTGCTGTACAAAAGTATACGTCAGTTTTTTTACTTTTATTTGATAAATTTTTATTATCATCATTTGCCAAAGGTACTTGTGGTGATAACAATAGTGGTGTTGGTCGCCAAAACTAGTTTTGACTTGTGGCGAAATCTTTTGATTTTTGCATAGTTGCGAAATTCTATATTTTTTGGAAACTAACACTAGATAACAACGACGAAGAAGAGAAGGAGAAGAAAGATGTTGATGACAAGTGACAAAGAACGTGTTGACGACGAAGGTGCTTGTAACGTTGTTTTGAATAACCTCGATTCAATATTATTTAGTCTTGTCAAATAATCAATACCATTTTTTTACCATTACTATTATATAGGTACTTTTTGGATTCGAAAAAGTCAATTGCGTATGTATTTATCAATAAATTCTATCCAACACACAATTTCCTGAGCCACGGAGGAATATTTTAGTAGTATGCTCTGGAACCTTATCACGTCGTTATATATTGAAATCTTTACAAACCCTTTTTTTTTGCCATCATTTTTGAACACATTCCTGGTGAAATATCCAGTTTGATGTACCATCATCTATCTAATAATAATACTAAATGAAACATTGTCAGAAATATTAACAATCAAAATTTGATCATTCGAGGAAAGCTTACTCAAATTTTACCATCATCAAAACAAAAAGAACCAACAACCTTTAATTTATGGAATGTCTATATCATTTAGTCAAAACGCAACTTCACCAGTAATAGTTTTTAACTAAACCAATTAATTGTATGTAAATCGAAGATAATAATCAAAATTCAGTAATATCAGTATTAGCAATCCTATCAACATTATCAAAAAATATTCATATGTGCGCTTATTTTCTAGACATTATTTCAATGCATATTCTAGAAACTCAGCCTATTAGAGTATATAAAGATGTCGTTTAGTCATATATAATGAAGTTCGTTTAGAATTAATTATTAATCTAATGAAATAATGAGTCTAACTTTATTTTCAAAATTTAGAAAATTTTGACAATAGCATCTTTACAAATTATTATATTTCAATGAATTATAACTTTTTACATATTTTTCTATAATTTTTTCTTAATATAAGATCATCATTAGTAGTGTTAGAAAGTGGATGGTAATAATATTAATAAATTATTAATTCATCAGAATCATCTACATGAATATTATCCAATTAATTAATTCATCTACATTTTTATTCCATATCCATATCAAATACTCCATGTTCATGATTATCTTTATGTTCTATATGTAAAGAATAATATTTATCAATTAATCAAATATTACAAATATTAAATACTAATATATTATTAATATTTACCTGGTGTATTCTCCTCATCACCACTTTCACCTCCACTACTAATGTTACCATTTTGATTGGAATCAACCAAAGTGTTTTTAAAACCAGGATAATTAGAATTTGGGGGTGCCAAATGACCAGCAACTCTATTCAATTTTTTGTTATTGTTGGAATCATTTTTTTCAGAGGAATCTTGGTCTGTTGTTTGTGGAATAGTAACACCAGGAATGTATGCTAATTTAGTTGGAGTTTTTGCAAGTGGAGAATTTGCTAAATTAAGTAAAGTATTACGATCATAAATTATCTTCGTTCCTAAATTAAAAATTATCTGATTATTATTATGCAATCATGCTATATACATTTACATTTGTTTTTAACTTTTAAATACTAACTGACCTCCAGGTGTATTAGAATAGATTGTTCCTGAAGGTGTTGTACTATAATTTGCTGGTATGGATGTACCAGAATTTGCCTTTTTTATGAGAATCTCTTTAGAAGTAATTTGTTGTACAGAAGGCACAGAAGACATTGCAATTATAATATTATTATTTACTTGGAGGAAAAGGAGAATAGAATAAAATTAAAGGTGAATGAATAAATTAAGAGTATTATGTTAGTAATTAATAATATATAAATAAAAAGAAAGTTTTCAAGAGAAGACAACCAAAAAAAAGGCAATGGTATCAAGTTAGAATTGGTTCAATGGACTCGTCCGTTTTATATTTTTGCATGATCTACAATCAATTAAAAAATTCAATAAACATGTATTAATTTGATCATCTTCTCACATAAAAAAATAAATGTGTATTAATATATATATTACACAAGATCACTTGCACATTTAAAACCAAAATTGCATTGCATTGTGTACATTATTATGATTTCCAACCTCGTGGCGAGATTTGAGTGGTTTTACTAATTTAAAAAATTATATAAATGTTTTTTGGCATTAAATTTTCCTACTCAAAATTTTACAACAAATATTATTTTATTTAATTATAATATATTAATTATAATAAACATTTATTATTCCTAGTATAAATAAAACAACACAATAATAACAACCACAATAATAATAATAAAGATGGCAGATCAATTAAAAGAGTTTGCTGAGATGCCAAAACAATTTGTCAAAGAAGGCGCTCAGTTTGTAAATCGATGCACTAAACCTGATCGTAAAGGTAATTTAATATTTAATATTTAATATGAATGATAAGAATAACTATTTAATAATAATTATTATTATTACTATTATTGTATAAAGAATTCATTAAGATTTCACAAGCAGTTGCAATGGGATTTTTTGTAATGGGATTTATTGGATTTTTTGTAAAATTAGTTCATATTCCAATTAATAATATTCTTGTGTATGTATTATCATCATCATCTTATAATAAACCAATTACATTAGTGAATAATTAAATTATAATATTAAATTTCTTTTTTTTCTTTAAAAATAGTGGAGGAGCGTAAAGAAGAAAATAGAATAATAATATCATAATAATGAGTAAACAAATAAATATAGATGATTATAAATTCATTAATATTAATATTATTAAAAAAAAAAGTTAAAATGTTTTCATTATTATTTATTATCAGCGATATCTTGTTATTATTGAATCTTTGTTTCTTCTCCAAATCTTCCAAGCAACTTTTTTCTTAATTCTTTCTTTTTCTCTTTATAAAATTGCATTATTCTTACATGATCCACCCAAATTAATACACTTTCCCATCAAACCATCCATACAACTATCCAATAACCTACAATCAATTAATCAATCAATTTTCACAACTCATTCTAAACTATTCCATTCCCATCTTTCAACAATCTATTGCCATCACATCTCCTCTTCCTTCAAGAATTAATTCTTGGATAGCTTTTTGTTGCCGGACTCTTTATAAATTCTAAATTTCATGTGATCTTTGTTGATCATAACTTGAAAAAGTTAAATAGTAAATAAAGATGTTTATACCATTTGTTGCCATTGTTCTCTATATAATGAATGGATCTTTCTATATCAGGTATTGAGGATTTTATATGTCCCATAATGAACCAAATTAAAATGGGTTTTTACTTTACCAATTTTGTATGAAAATTCTTAAAAATTTTTATTTACTATTTTTTTTGGGGAGGAAAGAGAAAGATGATCTTCATATATATAATCAAATCAAACTTGAAAAAAAAAATTTATTTTCGTTTTCATTTTCATTTTCCAAATTAAAAAATGAAAGTTATAATTAACAATCGTTCTGAACAGTCAAAGAAATTTCCTATAAGTATAGATATTTCA